GATCCTCAGAAGCCTTTCATAGTGACCACTTACGCAAGCCAATACGACATTGGTGCAGTGCTGGCTCAGCAGGATGGGAAGAAATTGGGGCCAATTGAGTACATGAGCAAGAAAATGCCATCAAAGAAACTGGCAAGTCCACCTACGAAAGGGAACTCTATGCTCTCTACAAGGCACTTGTCCATTGGAGGCACTTTCTGTTGGGACGGTTTTTCTATTTGAGAACTGACCATCAGACCCTTAAATAGATCAAGACTCAACCTGCTCTTTCTGATGCACTCAAGCGCTGGAGTGAGGTCATAGATCAGTATGACTTCAAGCTGGAGTATCTGAAGGGAGAGTACAACAAGGTTGCAGATGCGCTGTCACGTAGGGCAGACTACCTAGGGGCGCTAGTTTCCGAATTTGGCATATATGAGGAAGTAACTCAATCGCTGGTGGGAGCCTATCAAGAAGACCCTGTCACGATGGACATCATACGGAAGCTGCAGGCAAAAGATAAGGCCACACAAGATGAGTTTGTGATGGTGGACGGGCTACTCTTTCTTGAAAAGGCCGGGTTTAAAAGATTAGTTATTCCATCTAGTGAGAATTTGCGCAGTTTGTTTTTAGGAGAATGTCATGATGCGACGGGACATTTTGGTTATAAAAAGACCAGTGCAAACCTGGTACAGCGATTTTGGTGGCCTGGAATGCTTGATGATGCAAAGAGGTATGTGCAGACCTGTCAGGTCTGTCAGCGGGACAAGCCCAAAACTCCAGCACCGCTTGGGTTGCTGAAGCCGTTGCCCATCCCCGCTGGCCCGGGACAGAGTGTGTCCATGGACTTCATGGGTACCCTGGTGACCAGCCGAAGCGGCAAAAGGCACATCTTTGTCATTGTAGACCGGTTCACCAAGTACGCTAGACTGATCGCAATGCCAGACACCGTGAGGACCGAGCACATCATCAAGTTGTTTATGGACAACTGGGTGCGTGATTTCAGGTTACCTAAGACTATCGTTAGTGATAGGGATGTCCGCTTTACAAGTGAGTTGTGGAAGAAGACTGCAGAGCAATTAGGCAGTCAACTTTTCGGGTTACCTAAGACTATCGTTACTGATAGGGATGTCTGCTTTACAAGTGAGTTGTGGAAGAAGACTGCAGAGCGATTAGGCAGTCAACTTCAGATGACTTCCGGGAATCATCCCGAAGCCAACGAACAGGCCGAAAAGATGAACAGAGTTGTACAACACCTGCTGAGGCATTACATCAAGCCCAGCCAGGATGACTGGGATGAGAAATTGCCTCTCATCGCCAGCCTGTACAACAATGCTGTGCACAGCAGTACCGGCGTCAGTCCTAATCAGTTGCACTTGTGATGGAAGCCTAGATCGTTTTTGGACTTCCTCCTGCCTGAAAACCGACCTGCTGCAACCCCTGGTTCAATAGAATATGGGGTGCAGTACGAGAAACTGCTGCAGCAAGCTGTCGAGCACATTAAGAAGTCTAAGGAAACAATGATTGCCTCTGAGAACAAACACCGTCGACAGTCCACATTTCAGGTAGGGGAACTTGTCTGGGTGAAGGCTAGTGAGCTAGGACAGGAATTCGGCATCTCTAGAAAACTAATGCCACAGTACTTCAGTCCTTGGGAAGTTTTAGACATATTTGGGGATGGTTTGGATGCATCAATTTCCTTCACGGAGATCAATGCTGCCCCCAACCATGGATGGCCACGTGGACATCGACGACATTCTGGAACATAGAGACATGCCTGTTCCGAGACCTCTAGGCCGAGGAAGACCTCCTAAACCCAGAAGAGAATACAGAGTCAGATTCAGGCATCACACAGATCCAAAAGAAGATCGGTGGTTCACCAGAGAAGAACTGGTTGAAACAGCTCCTCAGGTGGTCGCTGAATATGAAAGACAGCTAAAGGGGAAGGCACCTGCGAAGTAAGCATCTCGAAGCTAAGGGGGATGGAATGTGAGGATTGAGCCCTCAAAGGGGCCTTGCCGTGATGTACATGTTCTGGGCTAAGGCCCCCAGCAAGCCTCGTGGCCGCCCTAAGTGAAGGCAGGCCAGCAAATCAACGAGAGCCCCGTATGTTCAACATTTCACGAAGTGGGGTCCATACAGTTGCCGCACGCCAGTTGGTTGGAGTGCACCGAGTACCAGATCTCTGCAAATGCAGAAGGACCAGGGCCCCAGAATTGGTTAGGCCCTGGGCGCATAAACGTGAGGCCGACATTGCATGCTGGACATAGAGGCCGAAAATGCCAATGGGAAACCGGTCCACTATCTGAATCTGGACGCAGGCCTTGATGAAAGAGGCGCAACTGTATTACGTGGGCCCCAACCGCATTAGGCCTGGGTACAGGTACTGGGGCCCAGGCGCAGGCTGAAGGGAGGCCACCCACACGCAACACTGGCATATAGGCAGAGCAGGCGAGTGGGCAGGGATCTTGGCCATTGCGAGCAAGGCCAGCACGCTGTTGCGTTGCGGGGTGCTGCGCTGCGCTAGGCTGAGAAAAGGCAGGCTGGCGCTAAGCGTTAGGGCGCAGCCTGGGCGCAGGGTGCTGGCAGCCATAGCCAGGCTATGTGTATAAGAGACAGGCGCTAAGCGGTAGGGCGCAGGGCGCTGGCAGCCATAGCCAGGCTGCATGAGGGCGCTGGAGGAGGTGAGGGTGAAGGTGGTTCTTCGGAAGGTGAAGGGCGTTGTGTGGGATAACAAGGGAGAGTGAGGGACAAGAGAGAGTGACGTACCTGGTGGAAGAGGAGGTCGGCATTGGTGTTGACATCATCACTAGCTGGTCGTCAAGTCGTCTGGTTGCTTCCATGACTGTAGTTGTAGGATAGGCTGTAGAGTAGATAGGGCGCCTGGCGCCATTCAAGAGAGAGGGCTACTTCGAGTTATGTTGTTGGTGTCGCCCGATTGGGCTTGGACATTGACTCGCGACTTTTGCTGTATCGTTCTCAAATGGATGATTGCTCGGTTCCAATGTGTTATCTGCTCTTGCTTTGACTACTTGGACTTCAGTGTGATTTGCAATTGGGATTTCTTTGCTTCGTCCACATTCATGTTCCTTGCAATTGCTAAACCCTGAATGAAATTAGTGAAAGGAACATGAGCGAGAGCGATAGACAGAAATCCAAATTGCAAAATCACACTGCGGCCCAGATAGTCGTGTTCCAAGCAGAAAGCACAATGCACCGAGATATCAGCCAAATAAGAGCAACACGATGAACTTAAAATTTATGTTGACATTCTCTCGCCACACCAACATAGTAGCCAATGTCGCTCTTCTAGATTGGCGCTCAGCGCCCAGCCTATCCTACTCAGCACCTATACTAGCCTACACTACGTTCATGCAACCTGAATCACTTCGATGCCGACAACCAATGTATGTGACGACGCCGCCAATGCAGACTGCCAGCATACACCAGGTACGTGTCTCTCTTTCCTCTCACTTCACCCCTTGACTTCCCACAGCGTGCATCCCCAACACCCAAGGACCACCATCACCATCACCAGCCTCCGCTGAGCAAGTCCGGCTATGGCTGCTCAGCCCCCGCTGCACCAGCAGCACCCAACACCACAATGCGCCCATGTGCGCTTCTTCCAGCCCTTGGTCGACCAGCAGCCTCCAGCGCTCAAACCAGCAGCGCTGCAGCCAGCAAAAACACGGCCAGAATGTCCCTGGCTACCGTGCTTACTTCCCTTTATGGAAAGTGAGCTCTGCTTTGTTGAGCTCTGGGCCTGGCTGGACAAGTTTCCAGTAGCTTTCAGTTGGGCCCCAGTGTCTCTGCCCAGGCCCCCAGTTGCTGTTGCGGGTCTGGGCCCTTTACAGTTGGGCACGCCCAGGTAGCCCATGAGGCTACAAGTGTTCGCTGCGATGTCATTGGCTGCTGGCCAGTGTGTGACAAAGATGCTGCATTCTCTTTGGCCCGCGGCCGTTCTGTGATGTGTCGACCTCTGGTGGCTCACGTCCACGGTCTCAAACTGTACGTGCCCTGGGCCCAACTGCCTCTTGAGCTGCTGCTTCCGGAAGGAGCCAGGGAAAGGCTCAAATTACCCTGTAACCAACTGGCTTGCTGCAACCGTCTGATACCCCACATGCAGAATTTGACAAAAGTAGGCCTCTCGTTAATATTCTGGGCCGCCTTCACTTAGGGCGGGCACAAGTCTGTATGGGGCCTCAGCCACGATGTGGGGTGAGCCGTAGAAGGGCCACGGCAAAGATTCAGGCTGGCATATAAATTCCAACAGCCCTTCAGCGTGATCACACTGGCCTTGGTGCATATTTGCAGGCCCGCCTTCACTGAGCGGGCAAGGTCTTTTCCAGCACTGCCGAGGGCTCAAATCCTCGCATTAGCAGGGCATGCAGAGATCTTCGCTCTACGTATTCTAGATTGTCACAGTGTAGCAAAAGACCCAGGATCGTCAATGAAGGCCGCAGATTGTTAACGGTGGCCCATAATGTCCGCAGTGACTCCAACTGAGACACTGCAGGTGCTATGCTCAAGAGGTGGATATATGGAGGACAAAGGCACTGCAGACATGCCCCGTGATATATGATGATGGAATAACAGATGGTATGAGAGGCTCTGAGAGCCTTTTCTTCACTGAAGAATACCACCTGGGTCTCTTCACTTTCTCGTTGGAGTCGTTGACCTTTGTTTCAAATTCTTTACAGATGCTTAGATTTGTCTAGCAGCTGAACAGTGACTAGAACACTACATTTGCACAGCAACCAAGTCGTAACAAAACCTTTTTCTTTTGGATGTTATTAGGGAAATACTACCGTTAGTGAGACCCGGAACGGGTAACATCGACACAGTGGTCATTTCCATAGCATCATTGCTCTTCCTCGTGATGCCGAGACAGAAGATGGTGTGGGCACAGTGATGATGTTCATAGGATTACAGGATATCTAGCCAGAGCAGCATTAGAATAGTTTTGCAAAGCAGAACACGAGCACTGTCCCACAAAAAGGTTGTAGGAGTTGGAAACTCACGCTTCTCCTGTGTGCCGATCTCCGGACAGAAACTCTGCCACAAACCTGGAAAACACACGACAAATAACCATAATTGAAAAATCAGACCACAACCTTGCCTTCCAACTCAGCACCCTTTCTTCGCAAGGTTACAATCCAGACAACAACTTCTGTGAACTCGAACTCGGTTTGAAGTGCCGATGCCCTGATGGCCATGAGGAGCTTTGTACCAGCAAGGTGCTGAACTCAGCACTCAGTGATCCCCTCCGGGTTGCCTACCTACGAGGCGACTGGTAGGGAGTCACCAGCCCAATGATAGTCGGCACTCTGCAACGTGGCTGGTAACGGGGTGGACCAGTTTCGAGTGTGAAAGGACGACTTGCAGTGATGGCAAAGGTTTCCACAGGTTGTGTCCGGCACCCAACCCAACAACCCCAGACTCCAAAACCCCAACACCAACAAACTAACCAAGGTTTCTGGGCCTCGGAAAGGGCGCCCCACCATCAATTCCATGAGAAACTGGCATGATCAGTCTGTAGGGGCCCCCAACCAGTCGGCCATGAACTGTTGGACCACAACAGTTTGCTGTCCGTGCACATGTAACCCTGGTTATAACTTCACAGTCTGAGCTGCAAGTGGATGTCCCATATCCTAAAAGAAATGACCGAATTAGTCTAGCAGATAATCACAGACAGATGAAGTTGACAAATCGTGTACAAACTCATCAGCGAAACACAATCTGTTACAAACAGATATCCTGCTGATGAGGGAAGATGCAAAGAGTTCCACAAAATGAAGCCGAATAGAAGTGACTCTACCAGACTGGCGAGACAAAACAATCTCCTGGCTTGGAAAAAGGGACTGACAGGTTGACAACAACGACATGATCCACAAAATAGCCGAATAACAGGCCATGGGGACGTGCAAACCTGGGAGGGAGCTGTGAGATGTTGATCTTGGGACAGAGGTCATGCAAAGAGTTCCACAAAATGAAGCCGAATAGAAGTGACTCTACCAGACTGGCGAGACAAAACAATCTCCTGGCTTTGAAAAGGGGACTGACAGGTTGACAACAATGACATGATCCACAAAATAGCCGAATAACAGGCCATGGGGATGTGCAAACCTGGGAGGGAGCTGTGAGATGTTGATCTTGGGACAGAGGTCATCTTGTGGAGTGAATCCAACATATACATCATCGTCCTGCCTCTGGTCACCAAGATCAATCTGCACGCCTGCACCGAACTCGCGAGGCCATGAAGTTCCTGACTGTTGTTGATACAGTCCGAGGGTACCCATACGAGCTTGCGGCTCAGAGACCATACCACTTGCATTTGAGCCTCCAGCAGGTCCACCCATTCGGGAGGATGGATACTCATCTCTCATCAGGCTTGTACCCCCAGATCCATATGCCAAGGGCGACTGTATGTCCTCCATTAACCCAGACGCAGTATCGATCGGAGATGCTGAATTGCTCCAAGGATTTGAGAATCCGCCTGTAAACCACCGCAAAGACAAATTTTCAGAATATCACTTGCATGGCACTGCCACGCGGTTTCCATTGATTAACACAAACAACCACCAATTAGGAAAAAGATTCAAGGCACTCGAACAGACAGCTATACAACAAGCTGAGGATTCACCACGAACAACTGCACAGTTAGAAAAAGACTTGAGGCACCCTAAGATACACGTCTGATCCACCTCTTGCACACACTGACTATACTTGGCTGCTTTTTTCCCTTGCATCATCAGTGAGGAATCTGAGGATGACGGCAACAAGCGACATATGCTGTTCTTCACAATGCATGACTCCGAATGGCTACATCGAATCTCTTTATCACAAACCATTTCTGTGAAATGTGCCAAAGATTGCTAAAATGCATAGCCTCCTTCATAGTATGAATACATGCACCTCCATGGCCCTAGCAGAAGAGGGGACGAGTTCAATCACCCATTGTCCACAGTGCAATAAATGGTTATCGTGTCGCTAATGACCAGGACATTTTAGAGGCCTTTCATTCCAAGAGTCACAAACCATAAGCGAGTGCAATGGCTTCTTCAACCATGAGAAGTGGCCGATGCAATTATGTAATACCGAACCAAAGAGAGGCCTTTCGTCGCCAAGAGTCGAAGACTTGGAAATCACATAATTGAGGACAATGGCTTTCTTCTTCAACCATGAGAAGCGGCCAACAGAATGATATAATACCAGACCAATGAGAAATCCTGTGTAAGAATGGGGATGGAGCTCTATGTCAACCCCCCAATCCAAAACTTTTGCATTTACTTCCTTCGAATCACACCTCAGAAAGAACAGATTCAGACCACCACTGCCCCAAGTGACCCACCTGCATACGAACATCCAGTCATTTACTGAGTTCCGAAACGATTGGCTCATATTGGGTTTCTGATCAGACGAATGCAGGCGGAGGACAGGACTGCACCTAAATTCTATGATTGTTACTTCCTGGATTTTTTCTCCCGGAATGTACCTTGACATCTGCACATCCCGGTCCACATCATGCACCTTGCCGTCCAGCCATTAGGGTGCATTCTTAAGTGGCAACCATGGAATGAAGTGTAGAGCAATGGCAACTCCAAGCGCTTTCTTTTATTTGTGGTGGTGGTGGTGGTAGTGGGAGGGGGGCTGCACGGGGAAAGGGCAAACTGGAACCTGACTGTTTTTACTTCTTAACTTTCTAAATATCTCTGGGAACATAGGCAACTGGAACCGTCCCTTCTCCATGTTTTTAATAGCTTTGCCTCTCCAATTTGAAGTTATCTTCACCATTGCATGTGCCAGACAAATTGCCCCAAGCAATGCTTTCATCCTTTACCCGATATCCCAGAAAAAGGGTGGCATGCACTGAGACCTATCTTCTCATGTGCCAACCACTCCTCTCGTGAATTCTAACAATGGGAATCAAAGAATGGGAATCTTTCAATTCCAAACATGATGAGCAGCACAAACATCCTTTTCCCATTCGAAAACCCTTGCACAGAGATACACTCTTTGATTAAATGTCTTTATGGGTGTGGAAAATACAGTGACTTGCCAGATGCTCCTGTAGGGGTCTTTGGATCACCTAGAGGTGATGGAGATTGAGCAGAGAGTCCATTGAGCTGGAGAACCTGAGCAGGAATGAAACACAGCCGACAGCACAAAGTGTAAGGCTGACGAGATGTATCTCCAACTGTAGTCTGTGTAACGTACATGTCATCCGCTTCTGCAGGCAGATTACCAACCTTCCCTTAGCTCTCAGTTTCCATGGCAAGTAGTCAAAGTTTCATGCAGCCCTGAAAGATTTCCCAGAAGGCATATTTCCACAAACACAACCACGGAGCAAAAGGACTGAAGCAGACAAACATGCTATATTTCAGAACATCGCATCCATCATAGCATGCACGCACAACCATTAATCGACAATGCGCCAAGCACAGTGCCTGCGGAATGTGCAAGCAAGAGCACGCCTATACGGTACTACATCAAGTCTGCATGTGCAAATGGATATACTCCCACCCATGAACGCGGCCCACAACCAGTATATCGCCCACAAACGCGACGTACCACTGCTGCGTAGTAGCCCATCACGGTACATCGCGGTGTGTCACAATATGCGAGTGGACCCAGTCTTGCCAATATGGACTGTACATCATCAGAGATGCCGTGTCTCACAAGTGCTGCTTCTGTGATGAAGCAAGCGACAGTCACAACCTCTCAAGTTTTCAAGGGCACTAATGGCAGTTCCCACTGCTTATCTGCATGAGAGCTCCCATACTCGACTCTTGCCGTTCTGCTTTTAAAATCTGCCTCAAATATGCACGCAGATTCAGTTATCACCTCAATGGATAGGTGTGTGCAACTAACAGGGCATAAATGGTGGAGATAATGGACATGTGATCAGAGTGTATTAGATAGTGAATAATCAATTGAGAACTGAAGCAGCAGTCTCGCGATAGCATTATGTCCTCGAACTGGATCACACGTGGTGCCCTCTCTGACTAATCCTGAGACACGCATCCCTCTGACTGGACTGGTTGAAGTTGAATGAAATCTAGGACGGCTAGAGTGTGAGGAGCGTTTATTAGAAAGAGCGGACATGCCAAGGAAAAGACGTGATGCAAATCATCCATCAGGAAAGCACAACCGATGGACCCATTCATCATAGGGGAAAACATAATCAAAATCAGGAAATGGAAGGCATCCACCGACCCACCCAGTCATCCATCCATCCATTCCATCCATGCACAGGAACATTTTGCGCAGCACCGCGCTTGACATAAGCTAGAGAGGGCAGCAATACGTACTTCAGCCATCTGGTCCAGAGGAGACATAGCCCCTGCTTCAAGCCTGCTGTTACCACCACCCCGTGGTGTCAAAGCATCTTCAAAGCTTAGCCCCCCTTTAGATGAAGGTGTGCTGCTACCTCCACCTAGTTCTGCATACAGAGGCAAAGAGACGCCTGTGCCCCGCACTGGCTTGTTATCAACATACATGTCTGCAAGTGATCGGCGCAGATTAGACTGCGAAAGATGAGTTGACTGAAGGGCACTGGTCAGTTGCTGATGGCCTACAGGTTGCATATAGGTGGGCGAAGCTGCCACCCCAGGAACCGCAGTGATACCATTAACCCCACCATCGGCATATGTTGCTGCCCCAGTGATTTGACTGAACACAGCCTGAGGATTGCCCATGCTCTGCAACGGACCAGACCCATTTAACGTAGACGCCATTTGGCTTGTTGCGGCTAGCTGCAGCGGAGTGGGTTTTGGTGACTGCAACCCACTTGACGACCGCCCAGATAGAGATCTTGGAGTGATGCTGACCAGTGGTTGTGATCCAATCTGAGATAGCATTGGCTTTGGGCTATTTATAGACCCCGCAGTGGGCGAAGATGGCCTGTGCCCATTGTTCCCAGCCGGCTGCACAGCGCCGTTGTTGCAAGAAGATGGAATGATGGGTGCTGGTGACAAAGGCCCCGAATTCAGCTGATAAGAGAATCGAGGACTTACCCCAGGGCTTATACCTGAGCCTTGGTGCCCAGAAATTGCTGAGACTAATGTTGGAACCCCAACAGGCTTCACTGCAATAGGCCTCAAGTTGTGGTTCATTGGAAGGGAAAGGGCGGCTGGACGATCTGTCTTCTGCACCACTCGGGCGCTGGTCAGCCATGGTTGATACAATGGCATCAAGACCCTTGCATTTATGTATGCACAATCCAAGGGTATCAGTTTCGTTGCTCGGTAAACGCGGCCTCTGCACACAATCCGTCACAAGAAGACGAGGTTCCATTGTTGTGAGAAGGCAATGGCACCCCAAGTCGAGGCATCTTTATCTGTCAGGGCCAAATGCGCCACCAAAAACTCACTTCTTCTGAATCGCTTAGAGATGACATTGCCACACAGGCAGTCCCAAGAAGGTCAGCGCATTAACATTCAGAAAACGGCAAGGACATCTCAAACGCGCCAAACAGTTATCTCTGGTTAACAGAACAAACTCTTCCAACAAAGACGGAAAACTTCAGCTCTCACGACAATTGAAATTCCTCCAGCTTGGCATAATTGGATGGAAATTTAGGGTCAACCTTCCTTCCAAGGTGGATTAGAACAAACTTCAACAAAGACATGGTTCCTCGTACTCATACAGTGATTGAAAGGAATGACGAACTTGCAGTGCATGCCTCACAGTCGAACAGATGCGTCAAATCTGCCGTGAAGGCATGCTTCATTCAAAGATAGCTGGAGTCCAAAAATCACGTAAGTTGAGGGGGGAAAGGAACAAAACATCTGTCGAGCCTAGCTAGAAGTGCTTGAACAGAAAATTGCCACGTTCTAGTGGGGACCTCACAAGAAAATCTCCAGGAGTCTGTTATTGCAGTACACACGAAGGAATGGAGTGCCTCACGAGGTTCCAGTCAAGACAAACAGAAAACCCAGCGAGTTCAAAACCTTATGGAAGGTGCTTTCCCTTTATTAAGAAAACGAAAAAGATAGATGGGTACCAGTTATCATAAGATTCATAACACACAATCACAATAAGATACTGATCAGATAATCAGGATGTAGTGAACAGGCACGTGCCCAGCTATTCCTGCCTGACGGACGAATCGCACAGACACAAAGTTGATAAACAAATCAGGAATCAGGTAAGGATACAACAAGGCTAGGACTAACCCCTTTTTGGAAAATACCTTGCATCGTTTAATCGGACAAGTCGGACAGAAAACGACCTCTCTGCATGTTACTCAATAGCTTGCTGTATATACACATACCACTTTAAAGGTAGTCATGCAATATCCAAAGGGATACACATTGCGCACCCCATTTCATGCAGCGGCTTCAAGTCCAGAACAGCTCACAAGTGCGAGGATCTGGGTCCTCGGCAGGTCTAAAGGGCCCCTGCTGCATATGTGCCCGCCCTAAGTGAAGGCGGGCCTAACAAATCATGACAGGCCCTCGACTGTCAATTTCGTATTTGGGGGTCCAGACAGTTGCGACGCGCCAGTTGGTTAAGGAAACACAGGCCGAGCAGCAAGAAAATTCCACGGCCTTCCTGGCCTTTCCGGAAGTGCAGACCCTGGGCAAGAATCGCAGCCTCATACACAGACAGTTGAGAGGCCCAACCGCATGAGGCCCAGTAGCCGCAGCAGAGGCGCAGCATACTGGGGCCTACCGGAAGCTTCTGGGCCGAGGCCCAGGCCACCCAGGCCTCCAATTGAGGCAGGCTCTTTCCATATAGGAAAGAGCTCACTGCCTGGCCGGTCATTCGGGCACTTGCATGCTAGCGGCAGCACTGCTGGAGCAGACACTCGCGGTCTGTGGCTGCCGCTGAGAGGCAAGGTGCGGGCACGTGCGGTCGTGTGCAGAAAAGGGCGCTGCTGAGGGCAGCGCCATAGCCCATCCTCCATAGCTAGGTGGGCTTGGTCTACAGTGAGGCGCAGGGGGTGGTCTTCGGGTGTACAGAAGGAAGACGCGGGTGTATGTTGAGGGAGAGAGAGAGAAGGATGATGATGATGATGACGTGAGGGCGAATACCTGGTAATGGTGATGGTCTGCTACGGGCGACATCTTGAAGTACTTCGTTGGCTGTTGACGTCAACAGTTGCATTGTCAATTAGTAGGCTAGTAGTAGCTGTGTAGGGAGTAGGCTGGGTGCCAAGCGCCAAGTAGGGAGAAGGGCCTGTATACATATGTTGTTGGTGGCGAGAGCAAGCTCTCATTGACATTGGTTTTCAGTGTTACAATCCTCCATTGGTGTCATATTGGTGCAATGCTGCTTCCTGAACACTGTGATACGATCTGGCTTTCAATCTGATTGTGCAATCTGTATATTGTCATCTCGCTACTGCTCATTTTCCTTGCAATTTGGTATCGGAGCTGGTTTGTAACTGCGCTCATTGATTCTTCGCAATAGCTGTTTGGTGCTTCGCAGGAAGTGTGGGGCAGTGATAAGGCTTTGGCGTTGAATGATTGGCGGCCCAGGGTCGTGTGGGCGCGCCAGGAAGCTATGTGGTGACATAGAGGTGTACGCCTGAGTGGGGATCCGGGCTGGCCGGGTGACTGGCAGGGGCCCGGGGGAGGTCCCGGGCGACCTGGCCGGGCAGGGCACCCGGTTGGGGTCCGGGCCCCCCCAGCGCACTCACCTGTCGGGGGATTTCGGACCCCCTTCCGGTCCCCCTTTGTGAGTGTGTGTCTATGTGTGTGTGTGTGTGTGTGTGTGTGTGTGTGTGTGT